CCTTGAAAAACATCATCTCTTGTCAACCAAGCAGTACGGATTTCGCAGTGGCCTTGGAACAGCGGACCTACTAGCAGTGCTTGGGCATGACTGGTCGCTGGCAGGTGGTTCTGGTGGCTGTACCCACGTTCTGGCTGTCGACATTGCTGGTGCGTTTGACCGCGTGTCGCACCCCGGCATCCTACACAAAGCGGCCACTCTCGGTATTGGCGTTGGCCTGCTGCAGTGGCTACGGGACTATCTACGAATTGCACACTAAGGGCAATCGTCAATGGAAAAGAATCTGCTCAATTCCACATTAAAGCTGGCGTACCCCAACGCAGCATCCTGGGACCCACCTTATTCTTGATGTAGGTCAACGATGCTGAGACCTGTCTTTCCCCATCAACGCGAATGGGTGTGTACTAGGGGTGAAACGGTTCGGGTAAGGGACCGGTTTTGGAACCGCCAGCTGAAAAGAATCGGGTACCCGTTCCGTCAAATTTCGAACCGAAACTCGAAAAATCTCGATCTTGTACAAATACATGTACACGTCAAGTCTACTCAAGATTTTAAATGTCTTACCTTGCGATCCCCACTCTTCCAAAGAGTTATCTGGTCATTATCTTCTTCGCACTTGGACTCTCCGATGTCTCATTCTTGCTCGTGAAAATGTTTTTTTTCTAAAAAATAATTGTCGCGAACGCATTTTGTCGGTCTGGAGAAAAGAGTGCATGGAACCGATACCCGAACCGTGGGAAACAATGCTGGCATTCGGGTACCCGAACATGAAAAACCTGGAACCGTTTCACCCCTAGTGTGTACGCAGATGACAACACGCTGCACACCATCATACGATCCAGAGATGACTCTGCTGGCAGTATTGCAGACATGCAATCTAGCCTGGATCGATTGAGTAGCTGGGGAGAACAATGGCGAGTTCGCTTTGAGCCGACAAAGTCGCAGCTGCTGCATATTGGCCACCACCGCAACCCCTGCCCACTCCCAGACCTAACATACGGAGCCCATGATATTCCCTGCGGGGACGAGCTGAAGCTCCTGGGAGTGACCTTCGACAGCAAACTCACCTTCAAACGCCATCTCCGCAATGTTTCTCTTCGTGCTGTAGCCCGGCTAGGATTTCTGTGTTGAGCATCAAGTTTCCTTGGTCGTGAAGGAAGCTTGACAATGTACAGAGGCTTTGTACGCCCTGTACTCAAATACACACCATTGATATGGATGGGCGCAGCCAACTCTTACCTGCAAAGTATCGACCGAGTACAGTGGAAGGCCCTTGCTATCATTGGTCCTGACGCCTTGCTGCCCGCCGCCAAGTGTACGCTCTCACGTACATGTACAAGCTAATGTACCTTCAAGACCATCCAGACCTCTCTGCGCTCGTGCCGCCTTACCAGGAAGCTAGCCTCGTCTCGCGGACAAGGTCGCAGCTCCGTGTCCGCCACCAGCATCAGCTACAAGCAGTGCTCCTCCCTACGGCCCCCAACTTTCTCCAGCGTTCGTTCCCATAATATTATGGTGTAGTGGATGAATGGAACAGGCTTCCGCAAGACATATTTCCGGATCTGATGCCCCAGTTGAAGTCTCTCCAATCCTTCAAGACGAAGGTCCATCGCCACTTGCGTCAAAATAATTGGCTCTGGGCTATGGACTCACTGTGAGGCTACGTCACCCGTCAATGAGCAACTACCCTCGTCCATCATCTCTTTCTTGTTTTATTTTATTTCTCTTTAGGCTAACGCGAGTTAGCAGCCAGCCATGCGAGCTGGCCCAACCTGCACGCATGCGCGAGTCACGTGGCCGCGCGCCCTTCAAAACCCTGTACAATGTCTCTTGCATGTCATTGCTGTTTGGACTTTCGAGTGTACAACTTGCGGAACATGTGTTCCCAAACAATTACCTTCCCACCCTCCCACCAACTAGCTCAATTCATGTTTCTGGCACACACATGACAGTACCGTATTTCCCCGTAAGTTAGTTCTCCCCAATGACTTAGTACCCCCCTATAAAAAATACACTTTCCACTGCCGAGGTTATCACCCCGAAAGACAGTTCCCCCCGAAAGATAGTAAGTTCGTACCCGTCCTACATGTACAGACACCGTACAGTACATACATCATATGCACAGACACTAGAGTTGCGCAGGCTTCCCACTGCGTGTCATTTATCCCCGATAAAATAGTACTCCCCGAAAGATAGTAACACCCCCGAAAGTTAGTACGTACTAACTTACGGGGAAATACGGTATCTGTATAGTCCATGAGAATATAATTATGCTCTCAACTGGTTATGCATCTCTATATATTTAGCATTTGGCGGCTCTACTCAGAGCCATTGGCGGCTCGATGCGGAGTCATTCGCCGGCTCGATGCGGAGTCATTCGCCGGCTCGATGCGGAGTCATTTGCTGGCTCGATGCGGAGCCATTTGCCGGCTCGATGCGGAGTCATTCGCCTGCTCCAAGCGGAGTCATTTGCTGGCTCAGCTGCAGAGCCATCATACTAGTTGCTCGAATCGGCACTCCCAGCTTAATCCAAAACTCGGTTGCTCTGTTGTGAGGTGGGGGGATGCTAAATGAGCGTTAGCATGCTAACGCGAGTTAACAGCCAGCCCAGTGAGCTGGCCCAACCTGCACGCATGTGCGAGTCACGTGGGCACGCGCCCTTCAAACAAAATCCTGTATAATGTCTCTAGCATGTCATTGCTGTTTGGTCTTTCGAGCATGCAACTTGCGGAACATGTGTTCCCAAACAATTACCTTCCCACCCTCCCAACCACTAGCTGAATTCATGTTTCTGGCACACACATGACGGTATCTGTATAGTCCATGAGAATATATGCTCTCAACTGGTTATGCATCTCAATATATTTAGCATTTGGCGGCTATACTCAGAGCTATTGGCGCCTCCATGCGGAGTCATTGGCGGCTCCATGCGGAGTCATTTGGCGGCTTCTTGCGGAGTCATTTGGCGGCTCCATGCGGAGTCATTCGCCGGCTCCATGCGGAGTTTTTTGTCGCCTCCATGCGGAGTCATTTGCCTGCTCCAAGCGGAGTCATTTGCCGGCTCCATGTGGAGTCATTCGCCTGCTCCATGCGGAGTCATTTGCTGGCTCAGCTGCAGAGCCATCATACCCGTTGCTCGAATCGGCACTCCCAGCCTAATCCAAAACTCGGTTGCTCTGTTGTGAGGGAGGGGGGGGGGGGGGGATGCTAAGGTCATGTAACTCATGTTGGATAGCCACATGGTAAGCCTATGGGACTATGACCAGCCGCTTGCACAGTAGCACTCCGTTGCACGTACGATGATCTTCCTGCCTCTGCGCACATGCATAATGATGTGTCACACTTGATGTATCGTGTGTAAAAAATATCGGAAATAAGAATAGAAAGTCGTTTTTCAAACACCCACGCTATAATCGATACCTACTGTACAAGATGTGTGTCGTATGACCTACAGACAGGACACCAGCTCCACAATAGGAGCATGAAAGTAGGAGATGGTGGAGCACTCTGGTGGTACTTTACGGTACATGTAGTTCTCAACAAGTTACAAGCTAGCACTAAGACATACCAGTAACAATGTAAGTGGGCATTTCATCAAGTGCTGCTATAAGTTTGTACACACACTTGAGAGGAATCAAAAGTGTTTCTGCTGTAACTCTGAGTTGCACGGTTATAAGTTTGTATAATTATCTATAAGTGACTGGAATTTGAATTTGACTGGAATTTCG